TATATATATATATATATGTGTGTGTATAAGGGATGCACAATATTGGAATTTTGGCTGATATGCCAATATGTTAAAACTTATTTTACCGATACCGACATTTTATATAATTTCCTAAGTCAGAACATAGCCCTCTTATTTAGGCTTATTTGCTACAAACAATGTAAGAGCTGGTGACATACATTCAGTAACAGCCATATGATATGCATAGCACTTTAACTTATATTAAATGAAAAGCGTTAAATGTTAGTTATTAACATTAGTCACCTGTGATGCTGTCTCACTTGTGGAGGCTTGTTACGGGTTCCTAGTGCAGTGTCGGATCTTCTGCACTCGTGCATGAAGGACAGTCTTTTTAAGTTCAAAGTTTTTCTATCCATTGTGCGGTAAGATTAATCATGCTAACGGGGCTAACACAATGTCCAAATGTCTGTGGTAAAACTCACCCAAGTGCTATCGGCTGTTAGCTCCTCAATGATGTCGGAAATGACGGTTTGTAACTCGGATAAGTTTACGTTGGAAAAATATCTCCAACTGGGGACGATGTAGCGAGGCTCAACGTAGTCCAAAAATCTTTGGAAACCGACATCCTCACCAATGAAAAAAACCTTGCACACAGCCGACATTTGAATTTTCCTCTCTGCCGTGAGATCAGGTAGGTGCGCTGATGTCATCACGTTGTGCTGGTGCTGCAGGCATCCTTGTCACAGGGTTGTCATACAAAAACAGTGTCTTTTATATCGGTGAGTTATTTTGATGGAATGGCCGATGTCCGATATTGCACTTTAACACTAATATCAGCTTATACACAATGCCAATAATATTGTGCATCCCTAATGCATATATATATATATATATATAGATATATATATATATATATATATATATATATATATATATATAATGTATGTATGTATGTATTTATGTATGTGTGTGTATGTATTTATGTATGTATTTGTGTGCATATGTATATTGAAGGAGCCATGTGGTAGCCATGAGCCGTTACATAAAGTAAAGTGTTATGTGTTGTCATCATTGTTTGTTCCCATACAATGGCAAAATTAGTTCTCTGTATTTAACCCATCACACCTGGGAGACACCCAGGTGGAGCAGTGGGCAGCTATGTAAGCGCCCGGGAAGCAATTAGGGATTTGGTGTCTTGCTCAGAGACAACATGACATGTGGGAATGGCTGAGGATTAAACCTGGGACTTTTGGGTCTTGAGTCCGCTACCCTACCTCTATAAGGCCAGGTCACCCTTGTGAAAGAGGCCTTGATCTCAATGGGTGTTTTTATCCGGTACAGATGTTTGCATGCCTGAACAAGAGTATTCATAAATGCATATGATGGAGTTTATTGAAGAATCAAGTGCTTTACTTCAATATACGGTAAACAAAAAACAATTAGAACAAAAGCATGAAACCAGAACAACCACAGTCTTTCTCTCCTTGTTTTTTTTTTTGTTTTTTGACTCAAGATGAAGTGTCAAAATCCTGAGTCGGAGAGAGATCACAACAAACTGATTATCAACAGGAAGTGACTCCATTATGAGCTTAAAGATGGGACAGAGTATTCTCTGGTTACAGCTCTCAGTCAAATCCACACATTCCATGGGGGTTTAGAGCCGAGTCCCCCCTGCGCTGATTCCTGTGGGGTTTTGAGGGATCGGTGGGCCACCCTCACTCTTTTCTCAGGCTGCAGCCCCTGGAGCATCACTTAAGGAACTGCTAAGATTCCTGGATAGTTGAAGGAGAGTTTGAGGGTGTGTCAATGTCTAGGGTGGCCTAAAAATTTAGAGACACTTGACAGCTGTTGTGTTGACTTTGTGAAAGGTTGTGCTGTGAAGATTTGCATTAAGAAACCCTAAAATGTGG